CAGGAAACTGGCTGAAAAGGACCATTTTTTTCTTTTTTTTTTTTTTTTCTCCAGTGTGCAGTTTTGCAAAGTGGCGGCAGAATTGCTCGTGCTGCCAGAAAGATCGTTCGAGTCTCTCATCAAAGCAATTTGCAGTTTGCCTTGTCTGAAGCTTCCTTGCTTGCAAGGACTGCCTTTTTTCATTGTGAAACTTTTGCAAAGTGGCTGCAAGAATATTTGCCCAAAAACAACGTCTTGGATCTTCTTGAAAGGGGAGGGCGCTGCCAGAAAGCTCGTTCAAGCCTCTCGAATTTGTAGCATGTTAAATTTGAATTATCTTCCTTCCTTTGAAACAGCCTTGCAGCAAGCAGCAAGAAAGAATGTCGGAACAACTGCCAGCAGCAAATTATCTTTGAGACTTGAGCGCCGCGCACTCCGAAACAGAACTGAGCACAATATGGGTCGCTGTTTTAGGCTGTTTTCTGCCCTGAAAGAAACGAAGGATATTTTTCAAAAAAGCAATCATTTTCCAGCATTTTTGCAACAACTTTTACAATGGAAAAACAGCTCTTTCTCTTGCAGCAAGAAGAAAGGAAGAAATTCGGCAAGCGACTCCTTGTTGTTGGAGACCAACGCAACACATCTTTGGCGCCCTTCTTTCCAGACGTTTCTCGATCCAAGGCTGTTCCTGTTGCCGTGCCCCACCAAGATTCAAGGTCAGCGACTTTGCCTATGGCATCATGTCCCTCTTCGATGTCGACAGTACTGTTCCTACAAAAATTGGCCTTCCGGGCACACCAGTCTTTGTCATCGCTGCCGAGAAAGACCTGATTCGTCGTGGACTCGCAAGACTATTGCTTAAATGGGGATGGCAGCAGGGCAAACACTGCCCTTACACTGTCTATCTCAATGACGTCTATGACATCGTTGCCCAAGACGCGAAGATTTTGCAACAAGCACAAACCCTAGCACCCCATGCACACGTGCTCATCATTGGTGGGTCACCGTGGCAGGACCTTACTTTTGCAGGAACAGGGCAAGGTGAATTTGGCCTTTGCGGTTCTTGTAGCAGTTTGTTCTTTGCTTTTCATATTACTGTTTGGCGAACGTGTCAGCTATGGAGCCCAACATTTCTGCTAGAGAATGCAGGAAGCATGAAAAAACCTTGTTTCCAAGCCTTCATTGAACAGGCCCTCGGTATCTCACGAGCCAGTGGGTTATCCGGTGCCAAACTCTTTGATTCGAAACCATTGACTTTTCTTTCGGAACAAGGATTATTTTCGTGCTCCCTGCATGCAACCAACGCCCTGGGCGGCAGCGTGGGGCCCCCTTTTGGACAATCACGGTGTTCAGGTCAAGCTCGAACTGGTGCTGACTGTGCGTCATGTCTTGCTCACATGCCCTGCAACCTGCTCCATTTCGTCGGCATGCAAGTTCAAAAAGCTCTGCAGGAAAGGGGCCGGCATCCCTGCTGTGCCATGAAATGATGCCTCAAATTCCTCGCTTCCCATGACAAGGTGAATGTGAAGCATGATATCGCGATTTGGTTACAACCTAGCTGGCATTCCATCCAGCTGGAATTGCTGCCATGCTTGGATCACCAATCTCGTCAGAAATGGTTGGCAGGCGCTCCCATTGCACCCTCTCAGGTTGAAGCTGGCTGTCAATCACTTGCAGTCACTTGGAAGGATGGGCCTCACCATTCTGAGAAGCTTGCCCTGACAAGTGTCACGCCCCCGACAACAAGGATTCTTGCAAACATTACACCTCGCCCTGGCTTTGATCAGGATTCCGTCCACCTCAAAAGGGAGGAGTACTTCCACGCAGCTAAGCATCTACTCGGTACAGGCACTCTCTGCAGTATGTCGTCTTTGATTTCATAGGCGCTCATGATGTTCCTCCTCTTCTCCTTGGAGATCACTTGGCGCAGTTTCACCAGCTCATCCGCAGCAGGACGCTGGGGATGCGTTCTCACCCACATCCTTTGCAAAGTTGCTGCGCATTTGTGAGATCTGGGTTTTGTACATTGCGCCCTGTCCAATTGCCTTTGGTCCTGCTGTCGATGCTGCATCAGCAGCTCAAAGAAGCTGCGTTGACGTCGACTGCAGGGCCTAGGCATTCTAGTTGTAGCGCCGCATGCTGATGGGTGCATCATTGCCTATTTTGGCTCCCCTGCTCCGTTGCATGTGGGCCTCCTTGTTGCGCAAGATGGCCTGCATGGCTACGCTTCTGGAGTATTGCGGTTTCTACCAGCCAGCCACCAATGCACACACATGGAGTGTTTTGCAACTTCCTGTACAAGTGCCAGTGCTCTACCAAATGAATACATGTGACGGACTAGCGCGCAGCTTCTTTGCGTTGCTCAGAGATGCAGGCTTGGAATGCAGATAAGTCAACAAGCGCGTTCAATTCATGTCTTCTGCATTCCAGACGGAGCCTTTATGATTCCCCCTGGCTAACAATGCGTGTTCAGCCAATTCGATGCAACATTTGCACTTGCTCGGGAGGGCGAGCAACCGGTAAGTATCTAATCCTCTCCCTTCTTTAGTGCGTTTGCGATACTTGTCTGTGCTCTGGGCGCCACGCGAGACTTTTAACTTGCAGAAAGGTGACAGTGCTAAATCGTCGAGCAATGGAGGACTTTGTCTGGGTCCTGGCCGCCACTTTTGCGAAGCACTGGCTTCGAAGCTGCATCGCACTCATGCTTTCAGAAAGGCGGAGTTTTGGCACAAGCGTAACCTGTTTGCAGCGAGGGGAATGAGCTAGTTGCAAATCGCGTTCTCCGCTGCTGGTCCCATCAGCTAAGGACCAGTGGTGCAAACCAGGTTGCCAACCTCTCTCAAGTATTGACTTTCGCATGGTTATTTTTACACTTGTGCCTTTCGTGCGGCTTGTTTTGTTTTGTTCTTTCACCATGCTCCGAATGGTATCATCGTTCCTCCTTGCTTGGCTTTGCTCGGTCTTGCAACTCAGCCTTTCGTTGGCGCGAGAGACCATTTTTTTGCTTGGGATAAATACTTTTGATTGGACAACTATGACCATGTGTTTTGAATAATTGTGCCATCTGATAAATAAAAGGTTGCAGTTTCAACACTTTAGGTTTTGAATGAAAGAACACTTTCATGTCCAGATAGAATACTTAATTTCCACATGGGATATTTTGTATACAAGTATAATATGTGAGGTCCAGATAAAGTAAATATTTTATGTTTCAATCTTTTTGGACATTTTCTATTTGTTTTTGATATATTGGCGGTTGGTGTTTGGCCGCAAGCAGGAATGCAGAAGTTTGATCATTTCTTTGCGTGTTGTTTGAGTGGGCACACCCTGAATGTGGAAGGGTGGAATTGCGTTGTTTTATGTGTGTTTGACTGATTGTAATGCAAGCGCTTGATGCATAGGTAAGTCTTTCTGTTCAAATTCATGTGACGTGCATGACAACTCATTAAAAACCAGTTCGTGCTTCCTGGACATGCCTTTCCCTTCCACATGCCTTTCCCTCCTTCAACTAAGAACGGGACTTCTGTCCTTCTCTCCCCTTCGCATGGCTCAAGCGACACACGCTTTCGGATTTTTAATGAACCTGAATTTGCTGCTCAAACTAATATTGGATGTGCTCCTGTACGTGTGAGACGAAACCTGTTCGAATCGAATCCAAGTTGCATTCCTTGGGCTCTATCAAAGTTTTTGCATGTGCATGGAAGGCAGTCAATGTTTGTGTGCTGTATGCAGGCTGATCCACGTTGCTGGATTGCTTTGATGGGTATTTCTGCTCGGTGGGCTCAGGCTCAATAGTTTGGTTGGTTGAATATTTGCCGCTGAAAACAAGGCATCACCCTTTTAGATGTTTGATTTCGCAGAAAACTTTCATGCCATTTCGCAGACTCAGCCCACTTGACAGCGACTTTCAGTAAAATAATTCATCACGTACAGCGCTGCACAATCAGCCTGCACCTGCTTCACGAGACAAGGAGGCGCAGCATGCGATTTAAAGCCTGTGTTTTGGTTGCCTGCGGTCCGGCGGTATGCTCGTGCATTCATGCTGGCTAGACAGCTGTCAAGATTTCTATGCGTCTCATGGTTTCCGACTCTTTGTCAGGTGCCGGCCTCCATGCATGTGCCCTTCTATGAAGGACAGTGCTCCGCTGGTTGGGTTGGGGGCCTTTGATTTGACGCATTTTATTGGATCTAGGCAAGGGGCTGCTTGGCCTGAGCTTGGTGTTCCTGCTGCTGCCCTATGCGCAGGCTGGGATGGAAGTTTCACATATCTTCTCTACACTGTGGGTTCTGAACTGGGCCCCGTGTGCCTTGCAATTCAAGTTTAGTCTTCGGCATGCTTTGATGTTTGAAGGTCCGGTTCGAGATTTGTTCTTGAGCCGCAGTTGACACGTGTGCCCCATATTTTTAAGGGTCCAGCATGGTTGCAGCTTGCAGCCTTACGACGTCAAGGAGCGATTCATCCCATCTTGTCCAGGTGGTCGCCAATTTCACCAGGTTTGATGCAGGGAGCTTTAATCACAGCCAGGCGGGGACCATGGGGTCATGTGACGCCTGTAGCACAAACGCACCCATGCTTCTTCCCGCTTGACTTGCTTGATTTTGTGGCACCAGGTGACGATTGCTCACTACAATCAGCCACTGAATGGTGCCTGGGCATGATTTCAGCATGCTGTGAATGGGCACGTAAGCAGTTGCCATCCTTCCACATTTATAGAACTGCGGGAACAACATGGGGAAAACCAACCCATGTCCCGTAGAAATGCCGCAAGAGATTGTACTTCACATGCAGTCTGCTACTTCTTTAGACGGGCACGTGACAGGCAGATGGACTTCGTATCCTGGAGCTGCTGGCTGCTTAGGGCTTGCATTGGCATTCAGCTTTCAAGCCCTCTGACGTGCACAACTGAAGCCACGCAAAACATGGCTCAAGACAGAAAAGAGGGGGGGCTGGGGTTGGTCAGTGTCAGCTTGGCAGCCCTATGCTTAGTTCGGACTTGCCAGGGCAGTGAAAACACACAAGCATGGCAGCGAGGTTTGCAAGCTTGCAAGTACTGCTGTCACCCGAAGTGGCAACGCGAGGATTCGAGTGTGGGCACTCGACTGCTATGGCCAACACTGCCTCAGGCGGAGTGCTATTCATGGATGGCATGCCTGGGCTTGTGAAGTTTCGTGTGACAGGTTTTGTGGCTGAAGGGGAGGCCTACAACAAGAGCCTGAGCACAAAGCCTCACCCAAGATTTGGGAATGTACTTAGAGCGAGCACCCTTTGTACCAAGAGATTTTGCTGATACAGTACGTGCAGCTGCTTGAGTGGGCATGCAAGATCAATCCAAGGATTCTGTATGTAAGCAAGGACCGCTTGCAGGACATATCACAGCACAGTGGCACATTTATGCACTGCTGAGACTCCAGTCTCTGTATGCTTTGCTCCTGTGTTTAGGAGCTCAAAAAGAAGCTGACAGCGGGGTCTGATCCTGGACTGCACAGCACTGGATATGGCAGATACGGGGATGACACTGCATGCCCAAGGACATCACGGCCGAGGAAGTGAAGGGGATGATGCAACCGAGCTGTCAACAGCCGTTGCCTTGCCTCCTTTTTGTGCCACTGAGAAGCACGCTCTCTTCACCACAAAAATGCAAAATATACAAAACATATGATGTATGTGTCTATAAGTTAATGAATGAATGAGTGAGTGAGTGAGTGAGTGAGTGAGTGAATGAATGAATAAATGAATGAATGAATGAATGGATGGATGGATGGATGAATGAATGAATGGCTGAATGAATTTATGGATGGATTGGAACGGAATGGAATCAAATGAAATTAAATGAAATAATGAATGAAATGAATGAAATGCATGAACAAATGAAATGAATGAAACGGAAACCGAATTGAAACTAATTGGAATTGATTAAATTTATGAAATGAATGGAATGAACGAAATGAATGAAATGACATGCCATGACATGAAATGAATGAATGAAATAAACAAATGAATGCAATGAGTAAAGTGAATGAAATGAATGAAGTGAATAAAATAAACGAATGGCTGTATGGACGAATGGACGAATGGACGAATGGGAGGAATGGGAGGAATGGGAGGAATGGGAGGAATGGGAGGAATGGAGTGAATGGAGTGAATGGAGTGAACGGAGTAAATGGAGAGAACGGAATGAATGGATTGAATGGAGTGAATGGAGTGAATGAATGAATGGAATTATTGAAATGAAATGAATGAAATGACATAACATGGATGGAATGAATGGAATAAATGGAATGGAATGGAATGAAATGGCACCAAATGGAATGAAATGGAATTATTGGAATGAACGGAATGAATGGAAGGAATGAAATGAAATAATGAATGAATGAATTAAATTCATGAAATGAAATAAAATGAAATGACATGAAATACAATGTAATGCAATGTAATGTAATGTAATGTAATGTAATGTAATGTAATGTAATGAATGAATGAATCAATGAATCAATGAATACATGAATCAATGAATCAATGAATCAATGAATCAATGAGTCAATGAGTCAATGAGTCAATGAGTCAGTGAGTCAATGAATCAATGACTGAATGACTGAATGAATGAATGAATGAATGAATGAATGAATGAATGCATTCATGAGTGAATGAATGAATGAATGAATGAATGAATGAATGAATGAATGAGTGATTGAATCAATGAAGGAATGAATGAATGAATGAATGAATGAATGAATGAATGAATGAATCAATGAATGAATGAATGAATGAATGAATGAATGAATGAATGAATGAATGAGTGAATGTATGAATGAGTAAATGAATGATGAATGAATGAATGGATGGATGGATGAATGAATGAATGAGTGAATGAATCAATGAATGAATGAATGAATCAATGAATGAATGAATGAATGAATGAATGAATGAATGGAAGGAATGAATGAATGAATGAGTGAATGTATGAATGAGTGAATGAATAATGAATGAATGAATGGATGGATGGATGGATGGATGAATGAATGAATGGCTGAATTAATTATTTAATGGATGGATTGGAACGGAATGGAATCAAATGAAATTAAATGAAATAATGAAATCAAATGAATGAAATGCATGAACGAATGAAGTGAATGAAACGGACACATAATTGAAACTAATGGGAATTGATTAAATTTATGAAATGAATGGAATGAACGAAATGAATAGAATGAAATGACATGACATGAAGTGAATGCATGCATGACTGAATGACTGAAGGAATGAAGGAATGAAGGAAGGAAGGAAGGAAGGAAGGAAGGAAGGAAGGAATCAATAAATGCATTCATGAATGAATGGAATGGAATGGAATGGAGTGGGATGGAATGGACTGAAATGTAAAGAAACGAAGTGAAATGAAACGACATGACCTGAAATGAAATGAAATGAAATGAATGGAATGAACTGAGATTCATGAATTGCATCAAATGAATGAAATGAATGAAATGAATGAAATGAAATGAATGAAGTTAGCGAAATGACTGAAATTAATGAAATGAATGCCATGAATGACACGAATGAAATGAATGACATGAATGGCACGCATGAAACAAATGAAGCGAATGAAACAAATGAAATGAAACGAATGAAACATATAAAATTCATGAATGACTGACTGAATGAATGAATGAATGCATGAATGAATGAATGAATGAATGAATGAAATGAATGAACTGAATGGAATACATGGGATGAATGGGATAAATGGGATGAATGGGATGAATGGGATGAACGGACTGCACGGAATGAACGTACTGAATGGAATGCATGGAGTGAATGCAAAGAATGGAATGAGTTGCATGAATGAGTTTATGAATGAATGAATGAATAAATGGATGAATGTTGGAATAAATGAAATGAATGAAATGAATGCAATGAATGAAATGAATGAAACAAATGAGATGAATGAAAGGAATGAAACGACTGAAGTGACTGAAATGAATGAAATGAACGAACTGAATGAAATTCATGGAATGAATGATATGTTTGAGATTTTCACTGAATCAAATTCATGAAACGACTGAAATGAACGAATCAAACGACATGAAATATATGAACGGACTGAATGCAATGAATGAAACAAATGGCATGAATTGAATGGGATTGAGCTGAGTTGAGTTGAGTTGAGATGAGGTGAGTTGAGTTGAGTTGAATGACGTGACATGACATGATATGAGATACATGACATGATTGAGTGAGTGAGGGAGCGAGTGAGTGAGCGTCTGAGTGAAAGAGTGAGTGAGCGAGTGAGTGAGTGAGTGAGTGAATGAATGAATGAATGAATGAATGAGTGAGCAATTACTAGATGAGACAATATATGCGGCCAACTAGATTCACAGTAAATTAACAAAGAACAACAAATGTAAATGAACACAAGCATAAGTGCTTGAATAAGTAAGTACCCAGTTAGCTACCGACATACCCAAGTAAATTCACAAGTAAATGGCGCAATAGAATAAATCAGCAAATAGATAAATACATAGATGTCTCAATGCGCAAATAAATGCAATACATACACATGAATCGATACATAGTCAAATGAATAAGTAAATGAATACAATAACTAGATAGATTGATATACTAAATACACCAACCAATGAAACAGCCTATCAATACACCCATAAATCAATTGATATACAAAGCAACAAATCAAAATGAAAATAACACGGAACTCGACAAGTCAATTAATACATAAGTACACAATTGATAGATACATAAATGAATAAGACATAGGCATATAGATGAAATAATTTATATATATAATCAACAACTAAATGCATACACACATGCACACATACATACTTACATGCATACATACATACATACATGCATACATGCATACATTAATACCTACCTACCTACCTACCTACCTACGTACGTACGTACGTACGTACATACGCACATACATACATAAATACATACATACATACATACATACATACATACATACATACATACATACATACATACATACATACGTACGTACGTACGTACGTACATACATACATACACACATACACACAGAAACATACATACGTACACATACACATACACATACACATACACATACACAGACACATACACATACACATACACATACACACATATACACACATATACACACATATACACACATATATACACATATATACATCAGTGAATAATCATATATGCATACAGAAGTAAGTAAATGAAAGTCAATAAGTAGGTAGACAAATAGGCTATATTTCGCATGCAGTACATACATACAAAAAGTAGATACATGTCAGTGTGAATGCATATTCACATACATGCAAGTTAATATAAGTTCGCTTGCACTCGTGTGCCTGGCTTGCGGCAAGGTATCCGGAAGACATGGATGACGATGCAGTTCTGATTCCTGTGGATGTGTCTGGAGAAGAGGAGGGCTTTCCAACTTCCTGCGAAGACCTTCTGGAAAAGGCCAGGCTAACGCGAGCCTTTTTTCCCCAATCCAGTCTTGCGGCCGACTCTGAGGTGGGTGCCTCCGGAGCAGCGAAGGCGATAGTTGATGCGGCCGAATTTTTCGAGACCTTGCTGCATACTTTTACCAGACATGAGTTTGCAATTCGTCTTGTTGTGCAGTTGCGAAGCACCAGTTCAGGAAAAGAACAAGGTCAAGAAGTTCGGTAATGATCAGTCACTAGACTGCAGTCCTTGCTCAGTTGTGGGAGCATCGCACCGTTCAATTCGACAAATGGTAGAAATGCGTTGCTTGCTGCTTCTTAAACTGACCCGGAGCGGAGCTCTCAGGCGGCCGATTCCCATGACTGTTGGCCACTGTGCTGCACTGGCTTTACATTGCATTGCAACGGTTTGGATTTCAGTGCATCAGATATCAGTGTCTTTCTTTGGGTCTGCATCTTTTTGGGTTGTTTCTCAAGGAGAAACACAGGAGACCAGTTCGGGGTTCCTCATGTCGATACCGACCCAAATTCTGGCTTGCAGGCGAATGGATGAGCTACATGATGGCTGACGAAGGCGGCGCGGAGGAGAATGGCGAAGAAGAGGAGCTGGAAGACGATGAGGCGAGGGTTGAGTGGGTTTGTCTCCAAGTGGGTGTGGGTTAAAATTACACTACAAGGGAACCGCAGGTTTTAGTTTATGTTTGAATTTACCAGGGTTCCATTTTGGGTACCTATTTTTGACCCACAGCCAAGTGAGAAGCGGCAAGTGGCAACAGGCCAAGTGGCGTTGTCTTGGGCCTTTTGATGCTTTCGGCATGCTGCGCAGGTGGTGGAGCCCACGCCGAAGAAGAAGCCAAGAACAAAATGAGAAAGACTCCAGTGACTGGATTTGGCTGCTTTTCCAGTGTCACTGATTGAGATGCTGCGCAAAGCCTGTGCAAAGCCGGTCATTTGGCAAAAAACGCTCGAAGATCTGTTTGCTCAATAGCGAGTGACATGTGGAAGGAATCTCACAAGAGCCCAAAGAGCTGTGAGGAAGTTTCTGGTGACACGGAGACGAGCCGAGCGAATTCGTGCAGAGAGAATGAGGGCCCTATCTCCAAGGTCTCGCTGCCAAGCTCTGTGAGGGTGAGGTGCCCAAGATGTGCTTGCTGCATATAGTTTAGTAATCATTGCTGAATTACCACCCTCCTGCAGACAAATATGATCATCCTGCCCACACCTTTCATGCATCTTGCCAGCTACCAGCAAGTAGTCTGCCAGTCTCCTCGCCAGTCCGGCATGCCAGCACCTTGCCAGTGCTGTCAGCATCTCCCTAGCTCGCAGCAGCTCCCCCAATCTCAAGAGTCATTCTGCTCCTTGGAATAGAAAACAGGCTGGACTGAGAGAGACGACGGACACGTTCGGCAAGACTGAGGCCCGCAGACTGCAGGATTCCAAGGCCATGCCAGCGGCACGTTGCATGTTCGTCGCCTTGCATTTGTGGCAGGGGGCACTCAGAGAGCAGTCCAACAAGTAAGGGCGGGGACATGGATTTGTAGAGCGCAACAGGTCATCACAAACGAGCCTTTGCCTCAGCTTCGACATCGCATCCGCTCGAGCTTGCCAATCTCAAGACATGATTTTTGTGTATTTTGACTTCGGACTTTTTGCGAGATTTGTCCATCCATCCGACTGATATTGACTCCAGTGCGACTTTCCTGTCTCTGCATTTTTGCTGAGTTGTTGAATTGCACTGCCGCCAATGCAGGCTAGACTACGCCAGCACATCCTTTTCTTTCACCTTCAAAGACGACATTGAACCGCCATTACAGCCAGCATCTTAATGAACCTGCGCTGTAGCGTTTCAACATGCAGTTGTGCAGGTGCCAACCCAATGATTGTCAGCCAACTGCCACTGGCATTTATGCCGGAGTGACGGTCTCACAAGTGGAGGCAGGAGCAAGACTCGGGGAATAGAGTGTCCCCCACTGTTGAAGGATTCCCTCGAAATGCAATCTCTGTTTTGTTCTCAACCCTCGGGGTCAGCATTAGGGCTCTCCAGCTGTTTGGCAGCTCATCATCGATCCGGACACGTTCAATGCGCCTGGCGCAAAACTGCGCCTAGTGCGCGATGAGGTCGACCGAGTGCTTGCCTTATGAGAAACAAGCAGTCCAGGACACGTTCAATCATATTTGGTCCCCATTTGGGTATGGGTTAAAATTACACCACAAGGGAACCGCAGGTTTTAGTTTATGTTTGAATTTACCAGGGTTCCATTTTGGGTACCTATTTTTGACCCACAGCCATTAGATTTTTCTTTTCCGCAGTGTCTTGCCATAAGCATTGCTGGCCTGCTCTTGTCTGAGGCTGGTGCCAACACCGGCCAATGCAAATATGGCAGTTTCCAATATGGAGCGCATTCCTCCATTGTGAATACGCCCTGGCCGTGCTCCTAGATAAGAGCCTGCAGTACTCATTTGAACAATTAGTAGTTCTGCATTGTGGTTTGGCCTGCTCTTTGTGACATGTTTCTTTGTGACACATTGGTGGATTCCTTTTGCAGAACATGTTTTGCAACCAGGGGGTGTTCTTGTCAACCATTGCGCATGTATGCTCTCTCAAGGGCTGCAGATGGTGCTGGCACCATCACGACAGGTTGGAATCTAAGACACGGGCTTCAATCGCACAACACTTGTGTTGTCTTGGCACTGCATGCAACCCTTATGTTCTCCGAGATGGAAGCATGCAAGCAAAGACTGATCCGACGACCTTCATCCCACTAACGCAGCGCACTGAGAGTCATGCTGCATGCCTTGCCGACCTGGCGAAACCAGAAGCGAAGAGCCAAGCGCCGCCTGCAAGGTTTAAGATGGGCGGCATCTATCACATTTGCTACTCTGATGATGGCACCTTTGACAACGGACACTCCGACATAGTGCCCCAACGGATCGAGGTCTGGCGCTTGGGACCCTATCACGAACTTAAGCTGCTTGCTGGATCAGTGGCTGAGAGGGACAAGGAGCTGCCAGTAAGCAGTGGATGTTTGTACTTCAATGAGAGAGTTGCAACGGCACGCCTTGGGAACACAGACTTTCCGAGTTGAGCGCACGGGAAAGTCACGTTTGAGGTCTACGGCATCTATGACCTGCGAACGGAGTGCGCAGAAGGTGCGGCATGGGAGCACATGCTTGCATGAAGGTCATCTAAGTAGGACAAACAAGATGGGATTCTGCAATACCTCCAGCGTGGCATACCTGCCAGCTTGACAGCTGACAGATGAAGCGTGCCTCACCAAGCGCCCGTACAATTGCTTCCTCCGGCGCCAAGCGTACAACAACATGGAAGATGCCCGAGACTTAGGCAGCCAAGGTTCCAAACAATTGTCGGTGTAAGAGACCTCGCCATGTCGCTGCACTGCTAGACCTATGACGGAACAACATCTTGCGTGGTGGACTACAGCTACGAGGGAGCAGGCGGAAGTTGCTGGCTGGCCTCGGCTTAGGCTTCAAGATGGGCTTCTTTTTGGAGGTAGGCTTTCAGGCCTTGAGTGACAGCGAGGCTACAGCGGGCTTCCTGGCCGCGGTTCCTGGACGGGCGCTTTTGCTACAAGCCTGTTTCTGAGTTTCAGAGGCATTTAAACCCTCAACCCCCCCCGAAAGTTCTCAGAACCCTTCTAAGAACCTTTGTAAGAAGGGTCTAAGCACCTCTAGGTGGGTGCCGGTGCCTTGGTTTCCTTGGAGTCACGCTTCGCCGAGGCTACGACACAAACGGCATGGTCACAAGCGAGGTTGCCAGAACTTGTGGCTCAGCAGATGTGCAGAGCTTACTGGTTTTGCTGGCTGACCATGCAAACAACTGCCTGAGCTGAGTGCAGAGACACAGTTTCTCAACATGAAGATCCCTGAACTGAGTTGTTCGACTTCCCGGCTTCGTTCCTCTGCAATGCAGACACTTCGTGTGGAGCTATCACAGATCCGCGGGACTGCCCATAGAATGCAAGGGCACATTGTGTCTACCGTTGCGTTTAGCGTATCGGGCCTTTGTCATACTTCCTCGCAGAATCCCTACATTGCGCCTGATGCGACGAACCAGTACAGCCGCTCTAGCCTCAGCTGCAGCTATGTGCATCACCGTTTTTTGTAAGATCATGGGCTGCTGAAGCCTCAACACAGTAGCAAGTGGCACATGTCTGGCCCCAGTTTTCCATGTCCTCCCGGGGGAAAAAAAGGCGACTTTGTCCAGGAATGACAATCCCAGCTGCTCGGCCCGATCTTGTTGGGCCCGAGTACAAGGCCTATGCCGTAGCAGCACGGTGCTCAGGTCGGGGCACAATTTGGGTGCGTTTGGGAGGATAACCCTTTCAGATTGGTCTAGACTCTAGACAAGCATTTAGGGGGTTCCCCTGTTTTGACACAAACGCTTTTTTTTTTTAGTTTGAAAGTACAGCTTTTTTGTTTCCGACTCCTGAGGTGTGCTACTGCCCAGACTTCCAGAGATGTGATTCATACAGTCCCGACTATGTGCAGCAGGCGCAAAAATGGCTTGCGGTATTTGCTAATGGTCATGTGCAGGTTGGTCTCCTGTACTTCTTTGCCACCAAGGAGTGCATGAATGATCTGTGCATGTCGGAACTGCCAAATGCGGTTTTCGAAAGCCCAAGTTTATTTGGATATGAGAAAGTATAATTTGATTCCCTCGCTGAGATGCGTGGCAAACCAACTGATTGGACCCCGGTACGAGCTTCAGCTCTGGAACCGGCCAGGTTTGTCCGAATGGCTTCGAAGCGGAGGCAGATGGATGTTCCTTGGATTTTACAGGCAGGGCACATGGCTTTGGGTCAGAAACAACTAGTGCACGACGGAATTGTACGCTACTTTGCAGGCGCCGCACCTCAACATCGCTTTGTGGCAGCCTGAGAGTTGGCTTTTGCTCTCATGGAGGGTAGCGGCATTGGGGGCGGTCCCAATCGCATGCGTTAGGTTTCAGGGTTGCGCTCGCATTGAACAAGGTTGCTATCCTGACATTTTATTCGTTGATTGCAGAGAGGGTCATCTTTTTAAAGTTTTGTTTTGGCTTGGTGATTTGTTAAGTTTAGTTTTGGTTCCTATTTCAGGTTTGAGGCTGGGGAACACCAAACCGGAGTATATTCATGTTTGGTGTTGTGGGTTGTTGTGGTTTATAAGACTCGGGATTTTAGGATGTTATGCAAGAGTTCCTGTTTGCGTGTATTCCTTTATCCTTCATAGCAGAGTATTCTTCAAACTGCTACTAAAATCTACACAATACAACATGCTGTACATTGATACGGCTTTGCATACTGGGTGTATTTTGTTTTTTGTCCATTCATCATTGTATGTTCCATATTCAGCGTTTGGATTGATGCAGTTTTTTTTTTGCTTTAATGCTCTACTGAATGGAACAATTGATCTTCCGTTCATTACAATTGACAGTAGCCAGGAGACTGTTTGTTGATATCATAGTCACACCACAGGCCCTACCCTACCCTACCCTACCCTACCAAATCCTACCCTACCCATACATGCATGCGTTACATACATTGTGCGAGGCAATTTAGAAAGAACTTCAGTGATACTGGAACTAAATGAGCTTTGTTTCGTCTGAGGAATATTGCACGAGTCTAGTTGCACTGCGCGAATGAAATCGCGTGAGCTGGGAAGTGGCCGGAGTTGGACATCTCCGGCAGGTGCGAACCATGTTCAGAGCATGTTCAGAGCGGTCTCGGTGCGGGCTCGGACGCGGGCCCAAACCCTTTGCGTAGTTTTGGCGGGTGGGTCTTCACTTCGCTCGGGTAATTCGGCGTGCTTTGCAAGTATTGACGAATAAGCAAACTATCAAACAAACTACTTTAAGCGCACCAACTAGCTAGCTAACCAGTAGCATTTTCACTAGCTGGGTTGTCTCACTAGCTTCCTCTTGAGCGCGACTGACCGAGGCCCTCCGAGTGGAGTGTCCAAGCACTGCTTGCGCATATGCAGCTGACAGCCGGGTAAAGGTGGTGCAGCAGGCAGTGCTCGCCTTAGAGTCACTTAAGGCAAGCTTTGCCATGCAAGAATACGAGCCTTTAGACCGTTGCACACAGTGGGCTCTTTCTTCGTCCCACGGTAGATGAAACCTTTTGCACATCGGCCTTTTGTAGGTCAGGCCCACAGACAGTTCAGTCAGCATTTTGGTTGAGTTCCGCAGGTGTGTCATTCACAAAGCACTGTGTAAGGCGAGCAACAATCTGCCGTCCTGGGACCCGATGTCTGGTTGTGGAAGTGCCGTCCACGGAATCAACACCTTGGGCATGCAGGCTCAGTGCAGATTCTCAGATGAACCTGCGGTGCTGGTGCTCTTGTAGTGAAAGAAGGGGCAGTCTTTGGGCTCATGTAAATTTGCCACCTTCGCAGTCTCTTTCGCAGGTGCTTCCGGCAGACGACAACCCAGATGTTGCCCGGGTTCCAAGATTTGTTTGCCAGCATTCGCGGCGTCGCATACGCCATGGTAGATGCTTGGGTTGCCCAGGCCACGATGCATGGAGGCATGCGCCAGGAGACATGACATGGACCAAGTGAACTTGGTGTCGAACATTCAGAGTTTTGGGTCAGGACTACAAGATTTGGAACTTCAAGAATTCCAGCAGTGGCTTGATCTACGACACCAAGACCTCTGGTTTTCAGTTCAGGCCAAGTCTGCAATTGTGAGATGTATCACTGCCCTGCCTTGTCTGCAACTTCTGCTCTAACTCGTGGGCCCATCATTTCACTGTCGTTTGACTATCTTTCGCAAGTCTGTTTTTGCCTTTGATGAAGAGCGGATGGCAGTGTCAGAAACTGCCGAGGTCATTTGAGACTTGTTGTCTTGGAAAGGATTCTGCATGACCGCAACATTTGAACTTGAGCAGTGTCTGTTCACAATTTTGGAAGCCCCAGCTGGGGGGCGCGTCGGATGACGACTCCAGACCTCTTCACCACTGTGGCTTGGAAGCAGTATGAGTGGTGTGGGCTTTTCCATGTCTCCAGACTCATGGAGATTGGCACGAGGTCGGCTTCGAGAAAAGCAAGATCGGCTCCAATGATGCTTGCTAGCATTAGCTTGAGGTGGCTGTGGGTCAAAAATAGGTGCCCAAAATGGAGCTGGGGGTTTAATTTTGACCCATACCCAGGTATTGCTGAAGCTTTGCATTTCAGTCGTGCTTCCATTTGTGGCGGGCGCTTCGGATTATTCAGGACACGGAGCTTGGCTATGCGCTCCAGCCTTAGATCTCGGGTCCCGAGTTTTGCGTTGCTCAGATGGTTCATCCGCCGAGCGCTGGATGGCGGTCCCTGTATCAGACGTTTGTGTCTGGGGCCTTTCAAGTTTGGGTATGTCTCACAATTGGGGACATCCATGTGGTTGGCTTCCTTTTGGTGTCCTTGACAAGCCAACCCAAAAAATGTGCCCTCGGAAAAGTCAAACCCATTTGCGAGACTGCTGGCAGGATCAAGAAGACGCGGCTCATTGGATTGGTAGTGGCCGGTTTTGGGTGCATGTGCATCCTCGGCCTGCTCGGTGTCTGGTCCCAATTTGAGCTGGCAGCTCAGCGAGTGGTCAATGTCAATCAGCCTTGTGAACTTTGCGGCTTGGATCTTCTTGCCCAGGATCCACTTGGAGAGGAGAAGTCTCCGCAAGGAGCTTCGGAAAGAGGAGCACCACGCAGCTTCGAAGCTGGCGCAGGCCTTGCGGACGTTTTTTGTTTTCTGTGCCGTTGGGGACGTGTTGATCGAAAGGTGGGAATGGAGTTGTGGTCCGAATACCGGGACGACATCCATGAGTCTCACGAGGCAAGGCACCCAGGGGCTCTTCCAGGGGCTTTATTGTTAAGCCAGGCCCAGATGCTGATGAAGATTCTGAACACTTCTTATGGGACTTTTGAGGCTCGCTTCGACGCCAATCGCCCGATTTACAGGACTTGATCAATTTGGATTTTGAAGAAGAGGAGAAACAACTTGGTTCCACACATACTATGTTTGCAGCTGACAGTTGTCAGGCAAAGGTCAAATCCACCGTGGATGCATCATCGAAACAGCTCGGCCTGGACAAAGAGAAGGCGAGCATACAGAATTAGGCGAATCCTGACTTGTAGCTTTTTTTCATCACCCGGGTTGTACACGACTTGTCACTACTAGAGGCTGCAAAGCTGGCTGATACACTTTTGCACCTGGTCGGGAGCTAAGCTTCTTTGGGTATGACATGACAAGTGCATGGACCGGACGCCCACTTTGTCAGAGCCAATGTGCATTGGAATACATGCTTGCAGACCAGGTGGCTGACCAGCAACAGCAAGGCCTTAAGCACACGAAGCGGCTTCGGCCTTGGCTTCCTGCACGCTTTGGTTGTGCATGGTATTGGCCACGTTTTTTTTTTTCTTTTTCCCCCGGGGCATTCGTACATCCCTGGCCGATGTCCTTCTTCGGGGATCTTGGGGGATCACTTCTGGCAAGCACCCGGCCTGCTGTGGACGGGCACAATGCCAACTTGCAGGCTTGTGGATCACCTGGTTGAAGTGGGCAAGCGTGCTGTACCTCTGGAGAAAGCGGCAGAGAAGGAGGCGCGCTTCGCGCTTCGCGCTTCGCGCGCGCACTATGCCATTTTTTGGAATGGGACGAGGGAGCTCGTCCATTTTTTGCCTAGGTCATGGCAGAAGTCAAGGCTGAGGAAAAGCTGCTGGAAGAGGACCCCGAGAAAAAAGAGCGGGGGTCAAGGCAGACACGGCACTGAGTCTTTTGGTTTCAATTCCGAGGACCGCGCAAGCGGAGACGCTCTCCCACAAAGCCAAGGCTTTTGCATGTTTGGCACATATGCAGCGATCCGATCGCGACCGCTTCGCCGTATTACATTCTTGTGACAGCTGTCAGGTGGAAATCATACCGAGCTGGATGACCCCTTGCACGGTATCCAGACCGCATGTTGCTCACAACTTCCAACTTGCTCACCCACCAGAGTTTGGCCTCAGGCATTCTGGAGGGCTTCTTCTGGATCTTCGACGATTATGAAAGGCCACCCGCCGTTCTTTGCCTGCCGGCTTTAATATTCGTATATGTTCAGCACACTAGACATATTTCATACCTGCGCAGGGAGTTTTCTGGAAAGCCTCGTGAGCAGCTGAAGAAAGGCAACAAAGCCTTCGATGCCTTGGAGGCTTGGCTGTTGCTAGCCGTGTACTAGTTGAAGGACAGTCTGCTAGCCGCTTGCATTTCGAAGTTTCCTTCGCACTCTACAGTTTTTTTCTTTTTGTGAAGGCATTGAATGACAAGATGGATGAGCTTACAGAGGGTCAAGTTGCCGAGGAGCCGGCGCCTCAGGTGCTTGTGACGAGCTGGCGGCATAGGTGTCCTTCGGTCAGTTTGGTTGAACATCTCAGTTTAGTTCTAGCTTCTTGGTAGGTCCTGTTAGTTTGGTGTCATTTACCAGCCAGTGCCATCGGCTTTCCAAAAGCGCACAGGCACCTGGCTTGGTGTAGCGAGGTTAGACAAAATTGACCTGGAGACTGTGGGAGCTGGTCTGGGCTCTGGTCGAGTGCTTCCAGCGCGAGATATTGTGGAGGATGACAAGCGCGATGCGCTCGCGGATAAGTCGTTAACGACCTCGACGCTTGATTTTCATGATTGATTGGGGTGAGTTGTCAGTCCAAACATGTAGAGGTTCTAAGGCTTGATCGCCATGAACATGTTGGTGGGAGAGGTCAACGGGCTTTGGGCAGGTTCTAAAGGTTCGGAACGTATCTAGACGGTTTGCAGGAGCTGCTCATGATTGGCAGCATTCCACACCAGAAGCTCAGAGAGCTGCAGAAGGCAGGGGTGGGGATCAGCGAGGCGCACCTGGAAAGGGGCACACCTTGCCCAGGCATGGAAAGATGGCAAGGAGGACACATGGATCAAGCACACTCACAGAAGCATTGTAGAGGGAGCACCACACTGGAGCGTCTCACCTGCGTTTGACTCTCAGGACTCAGTGAGCATCTTTGAGCAAATCTCGGAGACTAAGCTGCAACGGGGATGAATTGAAGTCTCCACGAAGTAGTTGCCTTTTCGTGTTTGGGACATGACGCAAGTTTTTTGCGAGCCAGCAACGGTTCACTGGTTAAGCTAACCTTTTGAGAACGCGATGAAGCTTTCTCAATAGCTGGCCAGCAGTTTATGGTTCAACCGTCTGGACATGACAAACAGTTCCCCACTTGCCAGCTAACACCGTACCTTTTAGCTATCATCGCGCCTTGCCGCGATTCGCACGAGAGTCGATACAGGAAATGCACGAGCAGCATCTAGTGCCGTCGGGATGGTTGCAAAAGGGAGTCGACGAGGACAGCGTTTGAAGCGCACGTAATGAACAATTTCCGTGTGTGTTTTTTGGAGGGTTCCCCTTTTAAAACCCTCTTGAGGGTTGGTTTCAAGTAGAACCAAAGGAAGATCCCCATTTTTGGGTCCCTGTGTTTTGACACCCCCCCCTCTCTGCTTGCCATCGCAGGATGAGCGGGAGGAAGTGGCGAGGGAGGAGGCTGAGGAAAAGGCCCAAGGCGGCGCCAAACCGTGACTCACGGAGCGTAAATTGGACAGCTTTGCAAAGCCGTCCAGAGCAAATCCTGCTCAGCTAATGTTACTTCCGCTGCTTCAAAGCGGCTTTCAGTTGCTGCGCCTCAGTTCAGAGACGATTTCTGTAGCTTTCCTTTTTCTTGGTAGTGAGCTGCATGTGAACCGGGTAAGTGCCTGTTGCTTTGGTAATATCCGCTCTGAATTGACGGACCTCGTCTGCGCCCAGACCGCCCAGGGAGTGGCCGATTTGGTGAGAGAGCTGCGATTTCAAAGCTTGTCATCCATCCTGAGGGTATCCAACAGGAGGTTTGAGCATCTTTGAAGAGATGGGTGGCCTAACCCTGTCAGATGCTGAAAGGTTTTTTGGCTTCTTGGATCCCTTTTTGTGCCAACAGCCATGTGAAGGGCTCATCGGCAGAATGGGTTGCCTTGAGCCAATCCCGGCCACGCCTTGCTCGGCAGAATAGGGCCAAAGCATTGCTGGAAAGGTGAACGGATGTCGCTTAGAGCGTCATTAAAGTCCTTTTGCCCCAGCTCAAGGTGCCACCGCAAGTCGTCATGGCATGCCAAAATGCAGCGAGTGAGAGAAATCTGCAACCACCTAACCACCCTGGTTCCGTGCTTGTTCTTGCTATCGCGGTCAGGATGGGCCCCACTGATCACGAGCTTCGGAGCCGCTATGCTGGGGAGACGTTTGATGCTGGGTGCTTAGAGCCCAACCCCTTGTAGCGCAACCCTTTCTGAAGCCCGCGCGCCAGGTCTGCTACTGCGATGGAGCCTGCAGTATGTCGGCAAATTGGTTCAAGGCACGGCTGCGAAGTTGTTAGTGATCCAAGTTTCTCTAGGGTTTTTAGCCCTCCACACAGAACCTGCGTGGGATTAGAGCCATGAGGAAAGCAAGATTATTGTGCCTGCAATCATGACTGGAATAGGTTGGCCAACTGCGGTTCGCGCCCTTTCAGCCGGTCAGCGGATCTTCAAACACGACAGTGTTGCCGCTGACCTATTTGCTGAGAGCTGCAGAGTCATTTGCACCCGGCATGCCATATCATGCGAATAGCACCATTGGATTTTCTGCTAAAATGCTTCTCGCACAGCGATGGCGCCGCGCGGCTAAACTTTTCACTTCGGACTTTTCCTATGAAAGTTCCTATTACAAGGGCCGAAAAATCCTAAACCCTAAACTCCTTTTCATTACCATTGTGGGCACTGCTTGGCATGCAGCTTGATCCTTTGAGGCAAACAGAGTTCATCATAGAGTACATGAATATGCCTGGAACTTTCGGCTTCTATCGACCATGGGTGCAACCGACCTGTTTGCTTTGCACTTTTTGTTTCCGGAAGTGCATATAGACCCACCAAAACACACGTCTATGAGCAACCACCCACGCAAGCACCTATCCGCACACAGACACACCCACACATTCATACTGATAGAGGCACGTGGAGGGATGGACACACGGAGGAGAAGCACACAAAACACACACACACACATACCATACATGCACACGAACAATCACACAAATACGCACGCACACACACACACACACACACACAGAAACCCCCACACGAACAAACAGACTCACCCGCAAAGAAACAAAGAAACAACCAACCAACCAACCAACCAGCAAGCAAGCAAGCAAGCACGCACGCACGCACGCACGCAAGCAAGCAAGCAAGCA